AGCATGCTAAGAGTATGATTATATATATATATAATATAATAATATATATATATATATATATATATAATAGGTAAGTAAAGAAAGTGACTTTACAATAGTGGAATGAATATCAGAGGAAAACTGTCGAACGTACAACAAATCCACAAAAAATCCGTTTTTGTCCACCTGTAATAGAGGCGAACTTTAGAAGTGTAATTAAAGATACTGAATTTGTTGTGATACACTTTTATTTATGATAACTTAACTTTGCAAACAATAAGTTTAAATAAAATACAGAAAATGTTTAACAAAAAATAACGAATTTGTGTTGACGGATGTTACTGTAAGTTCGTTTTACTACGCTCAGAAAATAATAAATTGAAGAGGAAAAATACAAATTATCCCAGTGCCAGAAAACAACGTAATATATTCAAAACTAAGGTAAATAAATACAAAGTGACTCAGTTCGTTCGTAAAAGACGGAATCTTCTCCTTGCCTCCCAAGCCCTTTCCTACCTTTTGAGAATTCATTTCCCGAATCAACATTTGCGTCGCTCCCTGATCTCCTTTTGTCAAAGACCTTTTCAAGTGCAATTGAAGGCGGATTGCCGGCCCTTATTCCTCCTTCAGATAGCACCTCTACGTATTACGCGCGACCTCCCCTCCCCCGCCCTCCAGAGTGCCTCCCGCCCCCTCCGCCGCCCGCCTCTCTTCGCTTCGCTGCCTACCTATTCCTCCGCGTCCCGACCACGCCTCCGGCTACCTTCCGCCCCGATCTGCTCCGTTCAACCCACAGCACCAGGACAGCTTCGTACCGCCCCGTGCCGATTTGAAACGGCCCTACCGCACATACCACCCCTCTTCTGCCCCGTATCGTCCCTTACCTTCCCGTATTTGCCCCTTGCCTTCCCGCGTATCGCCCTGTACCTCTCAGACTCGTACCGCTCCGCTCCGTATGCCCCCAAAACATTCTGCCCGTACCACCCGGCCTGCGTCCCGTCCAGTTCCGCCCTGTCCATCTCCACACTGCCCAACCTCGTACTCCCATCTTCTCACCTCCCAGCTCCTTGCTACACATCATTATACCGCCCAGCGTTGCGTAGGCTTCCGCGGCCGGAGTTTATGTTGTCTAGGCTATCCGGGACGAGCCGCGTCAATGTCATGGTGGCTAGCGTTTCCGGCCAGCGTATTGTGCCTTCTTCAGAGCGTACTGCCCAGCCGTACGCAGCCAGCCGTACGCCAGCAGTACGCTCTGGAGAAGGCCACAATACGCTGGCCGAAACGTTAGCCACCATGACACTGACGTGGCTCGTCCCGATAGCCCAGCCGGAGGCAACATCATACCGCCCAGCCCCGAACTGCTTCAAACAACCACGAACCACCACGTACCGTATTTATCGCTCCGTGACGACGTGTACCGCTTCGTACCGTCCCGTATCATCTCTCATTCGACGAAGATCCTCCAAGCCGTTCACTATTACGCCACCCCCCTCCACACCACGCCCTTCCCCCACCTCGCCTCCACCTCCGCCTCCGTCTCGACCCAAGATAAGAGGCCGCCGCGACGATCCCCTCTCTTGGCGCTGCTTACAATTTAGAGCGCCTGAGAGGCCGCGCGGAGCACCCTTCCGCAGGCGATATTAAATTCTGCCGCAAACAAAGGAAGGTGCCCGGCTTCCACGTCGTTGATCGAAAGCTTCAATGCGACCAAATAAAAGGTGCCCAAAAATTCCCCAATTTAACTATTAATTAACCTTTGTCAGGTCTTTTAACAGGCATGGAGCAACAATTTAATCAGTTGTTGGCTTCACGTATATACAAGCAATGTGAAACACGTTTTTTGTGCAAACTCTCAGAGCTGCTTGTTTGTCCGCAATGCCCATAATTAGCCGTGAACTCAAAGCAAGCCTTCGAAAATATTCTGTTATGCAGCTTTCTTTTCTATACTCTCATACGTCTTCGCTTGACCCAATGCCATAACAGAATTTTCTTTTATATTTAGAATTCATTATCAAACATGTTTACTTTCAATATTAAATACAAGTTAAAGAAATCATACAAAAACTTATGAGTAATGATACAACAATGTACTTTCCAATAACATTTGAAAACTTGAGTGTAATTGCCCTAATGCAGCCCACTTAAATTCTGTACCAATAGTACAGACATCTCTCGCTGAACAAAACCTTTTGTGTGTCCATTGTATGGTTCTTTTATTAGATGGCTGCACCTCTTTGCATAATGATAGTTTTATAATGCAGGTTCATTATGTAAAAGGTATTTGACCAATTAAAAAAATAAACTGTTACGCATGAATCTTTTATAGAACAAATAATTCAATAAGTCTTCCAATTCCTTATCCAAGCACAACCTAGGCGTTTATATAAGGTTAATGCACTCCTTCTAGATGTGAACGGTCTGGAAAATTGGGGATATAACCGGATCAAATTTAGGCCTCAAAACCGGATAATTGAAGGTTGTTACCTGGTACCACCGCACAATATCAGGCTGGGATCTACGGGGAGGAAAGTGAGAGAAATTCTTCTCCCAAATTTTTAGGTAATTATTACTTTAATTGTCACGAAACTTTCAAAAAAAAATATTGCGTACAAGTATTAAAACGAATAAAATTGTTATAGCAAACATGAGGCTCAGTTCAGTCTTCTGCGGCATTCTACATAATCGGTAATATTACACCTTCGACTAAACATATCGAACAGATAAATTCCCATCCCAAAATTCGTTCTCTGGTTCGACCTGAAATTATACTACAAATTATGAAGTGTGTGTTGTGTGGGCCAGGCAGGGGGGTGATTCTGTTACAATAGTGGAATGAATATCAGAGAAAACTGTCGAACGTACAACAAATCCACAAAAAATCCGTTTTGTCCACCTGTAATAGAGGCGAACTTTAGAAGTGTAATTAAAGATACTGAATTTGTTGTGATATACTTATATTTATGATAACTTAACTTTGCAACAATAAGTTTAAATAAAATACAGAAAATGTTTAACAAAAAATAACGAATTTTGTTGACGGATGTTACTGTAAGTTCGTTTTACTACGCTCAGAAAATAATAAAATTGAAGAGGAAAATACAAATTATCCCAGTGCCAGAAAACACGTAATATATTCAAAACTAAGGTAAATAAATACAAAGTGACTCAGTTCTTCGTAAAAGACGAATTCTCTTCCTTGCCTCCCAAGCCCTTTCCTACCTTTGTGAGAATTTCATTTCCCGAATCAACATTTGCGTCGCTCCCTGATCTCCTTTTGTCAAAGACCTTTTCAAGTGCAATTGAAGGCGGATTGCCGGCCCTTATTCCTCCTCAGATAGCACCTCTACGTATTACGCCGCGACCTCCCCTCCCCCGCTCCAGAGTGCCTCCCCGCCCCCTCCGCCGCCCGCCTCTCTTCGCGTTCGCTGCCTACCTATTCCTCCGCGTCCCGACCACGCCTCCGGCTACCTTCCGCCCCGATCTGCTCCGTTCAAACCCACAGCACCAGGACACTTCGTACCGCCCCGTGCCGATTTGAAACGGCCCCTACCGCACATACCACCCCTCTTCTGCCCCGTATCGTCCCTTACCTTCCCGTATTGCCCCTTGCCTTCCCCGTATCGCCCTGTACCTCTCAGACTCGTACCGCTCCGCTCCGTATGCCCCCAAAACATTCTGCCCGTACCACCCCGGCCTGCGTCCCGTCCAGTCCGCCCTGTCGCATCTCCACACTGCCCAAACCTCGTACTCCCATCTTCTCACCTCCCCAGCTCCTTGCTACACATCATTATACCGCCCAGCGTTGCGTAGGCTTCCGCGCCGGAGTTTATGTTGTCTAGGCTATCCGGGACGAGCCGCGTCAATGTCATGGTGGCTAGCGTTTCGGCCAGCGTATTGTGCCTTCTTCAGAGCGTACTGCCCAGCCGTACGCAGCCAGCCGTACGCCAGCAGTACGCTCTGGAGAAGGCCACAATACGCTGGCCGAAACGTTAGCCACCATGACACTGACGTGGCTCGTCCCGGATAGCCAGCCGGAGAGCAACATCATACCGCCCAGCCCCGAACTGCTTCAAACAACCACGAACCACC